GAAGCTGTTAGGGAAAGGGCCCAACACTAGACTGATGAGCTGAGTGTTAGAGGATCAACCAGAGAGGAGTGGCACTTGGGAAGGTGCTCAGCACACTCAAAACACGGCTAAGTCCTATGTGATGGGTTGGATTCCCGGCTCAGCCATTTGCAAACTGTGTACTCCTTTTGCCATAGTGTCCTTATTTGTAAAATAGCAATAATAAAAACAGTGCATTCCTCATAGTGTTACCGAACGTAAGAACGTAAGTTCATGTGCTCAACACACAGTGAGGCCAAACAAACTGAAACATCAGAGTTTGGAGCAGATAAAAGTTTATTGCAGGGCCATGCAAGAAGAATGGGTGGCTCCTGCCCCCAGCTTCCAAACTCCCCTCAGGGTTTCAGCAAAACACATTTAAAGCCCAGGTGTGGGAGGGGCGTGGTTGGTTGTTGAAAACTTCTTGGTGTTTGAATCCTTTGTTCTTGAAGATGTCTGCATAAGTCAGGACATGATGTTCCTGTAAACCTCCAACAAAACAAATGCTATTCTCTATTCTGCAACTTTTTATCTTTATATGAATGAGAAAGTATTATACCATTGAAGGTCAGAGTCTTGAAAATGGGCTATCCTATGTATTTCAGCCTATAGGCAACATTTTTAAAGCAAAAGCAATAGAATGCAAAGGTAAAAGAAACAGATCTAATAGGAAGTCAGATTTGTTCTTCCCTATTATGATAAATGATTGATAGGATTAAATAAATTCATGCACAAAAAACATTTAGAGAATTACAGGGCTCATGGTGTGTGCTCTGTACACGTTGTCCTAACCACCCCCCATACACACTTATGTATATGAGTATGACAGACACATAGATACACACTGAAAATACAGCATGCTTGGGGTGGGATGAGCATTGGGGAGAGAAGTAGAGGATGAGGTGTGAAAGGAGGACAGAGACCAATTGAATTTAATTCTTAGTGCATTGAGTTTCCTGAAGGGCTTTAGCAAAGGTGATGTGAACATGACAGAATGGGTCAGAGGGAGGCTGCAAAAGTTGAATCCAGGAGGGCAGTTGTGGGGCTATTATAAGAATATGGAAAGTGATGAAGGCTTGGAGGAATGCCTGCTCAATGTGATGTGAGGGATACTGAACCCCAGGCTCAAACAGATTTCCTTTATACCATGTTCTTGATACCATCTTTACATCATGTTTCAAATCTTTACCACTGCAGTAATGCCTTTGGATTAATGATGGAATGAGGGAATGGAATGTTATTGAGTAACTATTCATTTCCAGGTATGATTTATATAATTCTCATAATGGCTTTTAGGGTAGGTTTCTCTTAGCTCTATTATACAGATAGGACACTGAAACTCAGAGAAGTCAAGAAAGTTGCCTCAAATCCCCCGGGTCTGTGAGACTTCAACAATATATTTTTTTCCCCGTCCTATTGATTGGCTCAGTTTCTTTAAGATCTCATGGCAACATGGAGCTGTGTTTTCTTAGAGGTAACCTGTGTCATCACTACTTATGGCATTGATTAAGTCCCTACATTAGCTAGACATCAGAGGGATTGAAATAAAGATCATGAATGCTGGGATGGATTGGAAAGGGAGGAGATAGTGTCTTGGAGTGGAGGGTCTGGGTGCTGCAGACTGAGACAACCAGATCAGGGCATCTCTTGTCAGCAGTAACTCAAGATTCCATGCTTATTTATGTCAGAACCCACCTCACTTCCATAGTCATAGACAGTGTTTGAGCTTTAAACTGTTCCCATAGCACTGGGTGCTCCCTTCTATTTTAGCTCACAACATATTAGAGTCACGGTCCGCCAATTGTATATGCCATGTTCCCTCACTCAGCACTAAAGCTCCTAAGGACCCAGTTCCTAACCCAGAGTCTGGTGTGGAGCCACAGGGGAGGCATCAGAAGAGACCATGAAGATACAGGTGCAGGCCCTGGACCCAAAGAATTTCAAGTAGAGTTTGAGAAGCTGAAATATGGCAGAACAGGAAACTTGGAGCCAGCTTGCATTCCCTGGGCATTAAACCATTGAATCAAAAAGTGAAATAGCATTATTTTGGGTGAGAAAGTGGGGTGCCAGCACTGGGGAGGAATGCAAAGTCCTCCATGTATCCTAAACACTACTAATACTCCTACTATCTGTTATTGGTTTAACACAAATAACGTGACAGACATGATGGCATCCCTTTGTACGAATTGTCACTTTATATGGATAAGCACATTTAATGCTCACAGCAGTCTTCTCTGAAGGGTGTAATTACCCCACTTTATAGATGAGGAAATCAGGCTTAGGGATGTAGAGATGCCAAAGCAACACAGTTAACAAGTTATGACCATCACAGCTTAACATCCATGATCTTATCTGCATTGTGATCCTTATTATTCTATGATTGAGGCCAGCTTGCTGTCTGTAGCCTCCATTTGGTTTTCGTAGAGTCTGGTTCAGAGGACAGAGGCAGGAACATTGATAGGGTGATATGGGGAGAGTCTGAGAGAGCTGGGGTTTTGTGAAAATCCCTCTGTACCTGGACTATTTCATTTTAGGGTCTCAGGAGTCATCAGCAAGCTTTTGGTTAGAACCACTTTATTCCAGAGGAATAAATTGTGAAATGGTATTTTAAAATTAATTACAGGAAAAGTATGATTTTGTTTTTATTTTCATTTCAAAATTTCAGCTTTTCAAAGGATGTTTCTATATGCTTAGTCAAAAAAAACCCCTTAATTTATCACTGTGTATGTCCAAGGTGAGGATTTTAATTGCTTGGTGAATAATAAAAAAATCGAGTTATCCCAAGTACTTGATTTCAAATAAGAATCATTTCACCCCCCACACACCCATTCGCCACCATCCCACCCACATAAGATGGTATATAATGAATCTGTTTTAAGTATAATTAAATAGCCTTAATGTTTTCCTATTATAAAAGTAATAAAAGTTTTTTGTAAAAGTTTTTATGATGAAAAGCTAGGAAAAGTAATGTAAAAATAACCTATAATAACACCTCCTACATAGAGTCACTATTAATTTATTTTAAAGGCTATTTTTTAGAGCAGTTTAGATTCACAGCAAAATTAAAAGGAAGGTACAGAGATTTCCCACATACCCCCAGCTCCCAAAAATGCAAGTTCCCCTCCCTCATTATCAGTGACCCCCATCAGAGTGGTACATTTATTTCAATTGATGAACCTAGGTTGACAATTTGTAATCACTCAAAGTCCATAGTTTACATTATGGTTCACTATTGTAGTTGTACATTCTGTGAGTTTAGACAAATGTATAATAACGTGTATCCATCATTATAGTATCATAGATTATTTTCAGTGCCCTAGAAATCCTCTATGCTGTGCCAATTTATTTTTCCCTCCCATTAACCCCTGGCCTCCACTGATCTTTTTACTGTCCCATAGTTCTGCTTTTTCTAGAATGTCATATAGTTGGACTCATACAGTAGACTTTTCAGATTGGCTCTTTTCACTAAGTAATATGGACCTAAGTTTTTTTTTTTTTCTTTTTTTCATGGCTTGATAGTTCATTTCTTTTTAGTGTTGTATAATATTCCATTGTCTCAGTGTACCATCATTTAGTTATCCATTCACCTGCTGAAGGACATCTTGGTTGCTTCTAGTATTTGGCAATTATGAATGAAGCTGCTATAAACATCTGTGTGCAGGTTTTTGTGTGGATATAAGTTTTCAGCTCCTTTGAGTAAATGCCAAGGAGCTAGGTTGCTGGATAGTATGGTAAGAGTACACTTAGTTTTGTAAGACACCACCAAACAGTCTTCCATTGGCTGTATCATCTTACATTTCCACCAGCAATGAAGCAGAATTCCTGTTGCTCCAAATCCTCACCAGCACTTGGTGGTGTCAGTGTTCCAGAGTTAGACCATTCTAATAGGTGTGCAGTTAACAGCATCTCATTATTTTAATTTGCATTTCCCTGGTGACATGTGATGTGGAGCATCTTTTCAGATAATTATTTGTCATCTGTAGATATTCTTTGGTGAGGCAAGACTCCTCATATTTGAAAGTTGCTAAGAGAGTAGATCTTAAAAGTTTTCATCACAAGAAAAAAAATTTTATAACTATATATGGTGACAAACGTTAACTACACTTTTTTGCAGTGATCATCTTAAAATATATACAAAAATCTAATAATTATGCTAATAATTATTGAAACTAATTGAAACTAATATAACATTGTAGTTCAATTATGCATCATTCAAAAAGAAAAAGAAAATCCTTATTAGCTTTTCGGCCTACAATTTTCAGATATGTTTATACACATCTACTACATAAGCTTATCTAAATTATGATTACCGGGCCTTCTCTTTTTGCTTTCACAATAATGAATGAACATTTTTGTATATGAAAACTAAAATGATAGATACCATCAGCACAAGATAAAGCAGGCATGAGAAGGATGCAAGATATTTGCCCTCTGTTCAAATAGTAAGTCTTCTTTTACTGCATATTCTTTTCCATTGAAACAAAAGGAAACCTCAGTATCCTTCTCAGTGCAGATCTAGGAAGACAGTACTGTTCAGAGCTGAAATAATAAGCTATATATTTCATCTCCAACCTTGAGTCTGAGATAATGGGATCAAGTAACTCCAACTATCAGAAGCAAATTATTAAGGAGGATAAATCATGAGAGATTATTACAACCAGGCATTTGACACAATAGAGCCTGACAAAGGTACTTGTGGTATTCGCACCCTGTCCCTTCAAGCAAAAGCTGACAGCACTAATGAGGGCTTTTACTTCTAAGCTAATGATCAGTTCACTCTGACTGTGTGATGGCTGCTTGTAAATGAATATTTCCCCTGAATCTAATTAGATTGGGTCTAGACTATATGTTTCCCAGTGAGTCGGTACCTTATAGATGTCAGGAACATTTCTATTAATTGGACAACAACTAAGATGGGAAAGAAGGAAAAGCAATTCTGAGGATGTGCACTGATTTTTCTCCCCCTCTCTCTTTGTGCCTAGAATCAGACATCGCTGACTTTGATGGCCGAAGCTCCCTTCTGTACAGGTTCAATCAGAAGCTGATGAGTACTCTCAAAGATGTGATCTCCCTGAAGTTCAAGAGCATGCAAGGAGATGGGGTCCTGTTCCACGGAGAAGGACAACGTGGAGACCACATCACCCTGGAGCTCCAGAAGGGGAGGCTCGCCCTGCACCTCAACTTGGGTAGGTCCCTGCCCATGTCAGGCTACAGAGAAATCCTTTTGTAGCAGGTCACGGTTCCTTATCCTCCTAGTGTATCAGTTAGAAGTTCCTGGATTGCAGTCTAAGTGACATATTTTCCTTATGCAGGTTGGAGAAGAAAAATACCATGTTTAAGCCATAAACAGCAGTCTTTAAACAAGGTAATTTTGGTAGGTAGGGAGAGCTACAAGCTAATTGTTCTTTCTTCCTTTTTATTTCTTTTTTTCTTTCTTTCTTCCTTTCTTTCTTTCTTTCTTCTTTCTTTCTTCCTTCCTTCCTTCCTTCCTTCCTTCCTTCCTTCCTTTCTTTCTTTCTTTCTTTTCTTTCTCTACATATTTCTCTCTCTCTCTCTTTTTTTTTTTTTTTTGTGGTATGTGGGCCTCTCACTGTTGTGGCCTCTCCCGTTGTGGAGCACAGGCTCCGGACGCACAGGCTCAGCGGCCATGGCTCACGGGCCCAGCTGCTCCGCGGCATGTGGTATCCTCCTGGACCGGGGCACAAACCCGTGTCCCCTGCATCGGCAGGCAGACTCCCAACCACTGCACCACCAGGGAAGCCCCATATTTCTCTTTTTTTAGTAATGAACTTTAGCTTGAGCAAGTTTAAATGCCCACACGTGTGCGCGCGCGCGCACACACACACACACACACACACACACACACACACACACATGCACATGTATTATAATGAGGCTTTTGCTCACAGTCTATTGTAATTGTTACATTTATGAAAGTTAAGTTCCGGGGGGAAAATGGAGGGAAAACATTTTAATATATTTCCTGGTTTGTTTTTTGTTTGTTCGTTTTTTGTTTTTGTTTGTTTTTGTTTTTTGTGGGGGAATAAGGGGGTCATATGTATGGCATCTAGGTTTCTGGGCATTCCCATGTCTTATTAAGGGAAATACTGTTTTATTTAAGTGTCCAGGCTGTGCCAGGGTGAGCCCTAGACTTGCCAAATGCCAGCTAATTTAGTAGAGATGCCCTGCTGCCTTCTCTGTATTTAGGACTCAGGCTTCTGCATCCATCATACCTGCCTCACTACTGGCAGGTCTGCATTTCTTTGTAATCAACTTCCTATCCCAGGGGAAGAAAGAGAGAGGGCCACCCTCCTTTATGTGAAAGGTGCTTTGGAAGGAGGTATGAGCAAAGTGCAGAAGGCAGGGAGCAGATTTCCCAAAGATGAAAAGGCAAACCAAAAAGCTCTACTAGAGGAAAAGAAACCAGGACAGAAAGTTAGGCTGATGAAAAAGGAAGTGACCATTTTTTATAAGAATGAATCCCTTCCTCCCATTGAAAATGTATTAGTTTTAGGGGAAGGGGTGGAGAGTATATTTGTGGAAGAGAATTATCACCCATCACCAAGTATTCCCTATCAAGTAGTAAAGATGGAAAGTCATAGCAGAATTCAGTTTGTAAGCTCAAGTTGGATGAAAGACTGGAAAAAATCACAGATCAGCTTTATCTTTTAGTAATTATTATTTAGTAATAAATTATTTTAGTAATTAGCATAAAAATGAAGATTATTCTGAACTCATCCCCAAAGCCAAACCATGTAGATCCTTATTTTGAGGCATTTCTGAGCATCTCCTTAGCCTCCATGGTGAGTATTGGCATGGGTAGCAGGGAGAACCACTGGATCCCAAGTTTTAACTCATCAAATTGATAACTAATGCACTAAATTAAACATTTAGCAAAAGCATCTTTAGAAGGAGAGTCTCACTCAGAGGAGAGCAGTAAGAGCTCTTGCTAGTAACATAATCGGTTTTGCTCACTTACCTAAAGAAGAAATGTATCAGTGAATTCTATGAAGGGTGGGCATATAAATATTCAGCAGAAATACATCAGTCTGATAACTGGCCTTCAATTTTTGTGAAAGGAAAATGGATGGAGTAACCCCCTGAACACACACACACCCAGTTACCGTTACTCTGTGGTTCACAGAGCATTGTGGGTTGTGGACAAAGTTGTTATGACTTGTCAATAGTAAAGCAGGTAACACTGATTCTGTCAGTGACTGCCATTTGGATTTCCAATTCCAATGTGCCATTACCACTCCAAAGTTCTGCTCCAACATCCATAACCCAATGAGGTACACCAGCTTCACACACAGTAAAGCAGGATGGAAAGGAAGAGGTGTGCTCATGTGACAGATTTTATTTTAATTGCAGACAGGTGCTAGCTATTTATTATGGGGAAAGTTCATAACTCCCAAGCCTCAGTTTACTTGTTTCTAACCTGGGGTTATTAATAACTATCTTCCAGGGCATGAACATGAAAGCTAAAAATATTCAAAATGAATTTTCTTTGTCAGTATATAAACATGGTGAAGCTCTTAATATTACTCATCATTCAACCAACAATATCTGAATGTCCCACACCCTGTGCTATGCGGGTCTTCCTGGAAAGAAATGGGTATTTTAAGGTAAAGAAGACCTGCTCCATGCTGCGATACAAAGAAAGCAGAATAATTCTCTCTTTCCAGATTCCATCTGCCCCATATTTCTAACTGTGGTGGTGATAATGGAAAATCTCATTTAGTCTGTTTTCTGCAGAGTTTGGAATTTCTTCATCTTTTCATCTGCTTATGGATTTTACGCATTTCCATCCGTTTACCATGACTGTTTCCTGTACTTATCTCTTTTAAGCAGTCACCTAGGATACTTGTTAAATAGCACAGATTTCTATGTTCCTTCTCTAGAGAGATGCTGGCGTATATTAGTACTTTAGCTTTGCGTAACTCTGTTACAGCCAGCAGATTTCTGGAAGCACTAAGTTAAGGAGAAAGGGGGAATGATAATCGTTTTGATTTGCCCATAAGAGAAAATCTGTAATGTACGTTCCACAAGGGAAAGATAACACTTTGTTCATAACTGTAGCTCTGGAAACTAGGAGAGCACCAGCCTGAAGTAGGTACTTGAGGCAAATTGGAAAAAGTGGTTTTCATCTCACATATCAGAGCCTGACACAAATATATACTATTCTCATCAGGCTTGCTGACCCTCAAGCCTGAGCTACTCTCCCCCCTATGATATTTGCAGAATACCCACAATGTGCCAGTATGCTATCCAGCCCTATTAGGTACATAAACATTAGTTCCAATTTAACCATGTGGAATGTTAGGCTGAAGGAGGATATATCACCTGTTCAAATTACACAGCTAGAAATTAGCATAGCCACAATTAAAATCCAGTTATATTTACTAGTTTTTAAACTTACTTTCAGATTATAAAATATATGTCAGTTTTAGAAAACTTGAAGGAAAAAAACACTCTATAAAGAAGGAAAAAATCACTCAAAATCCTACAACTCAGTCATCCTTCTATTAACATTTTTGTATATTTTCCAAGTGTTTTCCTTAGCTATTTGTATAAAATTTTTACATATGATATAAAATTCCTGTTCTTCCCATGTTGCCAAACAGCCTTCAAAGAGGAAAGAGTTCATACCATCCATGATCAAGCTCTTTTTTTAAAGAAATGAATCAAGAAATAAAAAGGAAGAAAGAGAGAGAGCAAGAGGAGGAAGGGGGGGAGGAGGAATCCTAAAATCCAAGTTAATGGGCTGCAAAACGGTGCTGGGGCAATGGCCAATGACGGAGGAAGGGGAGAAAGTTTCTTTCTACCCAGCTGACGTGGACACTGCAGCAGTGTTTCCTTTAGTGACAGTTCTCCAGTTCCTTATCTAATCATATCTAATTACAATTCAGAAATTCAGGCTGAGTAGAGAGGTTCAATACCATGGACAGCTGCATGACCTATACCATGGCCTTTGGAGGTATACACAGTGTACTGTGGTTCTTCACAAGTGATGCTCTTTGCCGAAATTCTGATTCATATTACCTAGTTACTCCTATGGAGGCTGACTTGGAGAGATCATTTCAATGCTGCAGTTGAACTAGGTGTTTGACTACTTTCTTCGGGTAGAGCAGTGAGATTTCTAGAGTTACTAATGGGAGAGAGATTTCTTCTCTCAGTCCGTAAGGGGGTTCATAAAGATTCCTCTTTCCATGCTACACATGTCATTCAGATCACCTGTGGCAGTTTGCCCTCAGTAGAATTACAACAGCTCAAACCCATACATGCAGGTGGGATAATGAAAGAGCAGAGGCATTATGTGACTGGGGAATTGTGGTGAGAACTAAATAAAACATCAGTAGCACATGCAGGTCATTCATCCTTACAAGAGTCCAGCGCCTTTGAACTGAGGCATAATGTTTGTGTAATATGGCAGTCATAGGAAAGTGAGAATCTCGGCATAGCATAACCACGTGTGGAGCACACTGTCCTTGGGGGGCCAAGTATGGGTTCAGAGGCAAAGCATTTGACTGCATAACCAACTCATTGAGATAGCTTGGGATATCAGTGAACAGTCTGAACATTCTCCAGAGTGTCCAATGAACATTTACTTTAGCTTTTTGAAATTCAAACATTTTGATAAGCCAACTCATATGTATTTATAAAACATTTATTGTGTTTCTGGACCTGGACTAAATACTACAAAAGATGTTTTTTAACGTTGCCATTTTTTGAGAGCCCTCACTTAGGCACTGTGCTAGACATTTTACATATATATTTCATTTGTATCACATGGCAATCCTACAAACTATATCCAAACCCATTTTACAGATGGAGAAACTGATGGTCAGTGATGTCCAGTAGGTTGCCCCGGGCTACATAGGTCACATAGATGCATAGCTGTAAACCCAAGATTAGAACACTCTCCAATCGAACCCCAAGTTCCTGACATTCATCATTAAAATGTTATAAACCTTCATGAAACAGTTACAAATTAAATATCAAGAAGTTGGTATCCATGTGTTATATTTTGAGAATGGAGAGACCAGAGTAGGATAAAGGAGTCCAGAAAGCCTTCCTGGATCCACCTTGAGTTAGCTGGAGACTTCATTACAAAGAAGAAGGGAACACAGGCATTTCAGACAAAGTGTCAATGGGATAAGTTGTGCCACATTTTATATAAATTGTGTCATTCTTATACTAAGAATTCACTGAACGAGTACATTAAGCCAGGCACTGAGCTATGCACTGGAGGTTAAAAGTTGAATTTACCAGTTCTGATTTTCAAGGAGGACCCGGCCTAGTAAAATAATTATTGCAATTTACTTTCTAATTTTGTAATATTAACTAAAAATATATAATTAGGTATCATCAAAACCACATACCATAATTGTATTAAGATAGCATTTTTTTAAGGTAACAAAGTCACAGAAGATGGATACAGCTTAGGAGTCAGACTTGAACCATGACTCCTAAATCTAGAGAATGTTTTATTGAATAAAATTTAGAAAATTTTTAACAACTTTAACAATACAAGAAAGATGTATTTCATTGCTTTTGTGATACATAAGGATTTGCTCTGATCTGAGGGTCAAGTCCACTGCAATCGCATGGCATCCTGTTAGTTTTTATTTTCTTCGGAAGACTTCAATTGAATGCTTAGGGGAATATTCATCAGCCCTGAATTCGGCTAAACAAGGGTCTTTATGCTCCTGGATAACCTGCAAAGGTGAAATTTGCCTTCACCTTCTACATCGTGTCCTTCCCTCTTAGGGTTGCCCCATGTTCCTTTCCAAAACTCTCGGCTTCCCAATGCATCAAATCCTTTTCTTGGTATTCTGATTAAGCTATATAAGCTCACACATATGTCTGGTGGAAAGCAGATGGCCAGGACATAAGAAATGAGGGTAAGTGGGAGTATCAATTTTTCCAGTAGGGGTAGTGGTAAAAGCATTAGCTTTGGAGTCAGAGCTTGGTTGTAACCTTAATTCTTTTTGTCCTTAGGTATGTCTTGTAGCTTCTTTGAGGTGAAGCTTTTTGTAAGGCTGTGTTCAGAAATAACAACATATGTAAAATGCTTACCTCACTTAGTAGAAGAGAACCTTAAAAATACAAGTGAATACCAACATCGATAACCTGAACAACTAAGGTGGGAAGGTTAATCCTGAAGGTCGGGTGGAGGTAGGCATAGGTGACCTCCATGTGAGGTCCCCTATCTCATCAACAATAAATCAAGCCCTTTCCAACGTGACTTGCTGTTGAAATACAATCTTAAAAAAGAAAGTTTCTGTTCCCTTTTGCTAGGCCATATGATATCCACAGATTGTGAAAGTTAAAGTGTTTAAACTGTTAAGACCAAGCAAGATTTAATCAAAGAAGACTTTGGGTGAAAACGATGCAATATAATGCCCTTAGTCAGAAAAATGTTAGTTCCAAGGGTGAACAATTTGACATGCTTATCCACAGTATGTTGGGGATGGGGGTGGGGGAGAAGAGCAAGTTAGAAATAGTTTGCAATCGTTTCAAGCTTCCTATAAGAATTGCCATATGCTTTAGGGACTTGAGTAGTATTTACATTGTTTCATTTTAATTATATCTCAAACCACATGAAAACAAGTTTTTATTTAATTAGTAATAAGAGGTATTTTCCACCCTAATGTGTTTCTGGCCTAAAAGATAGCTTCCAGATATTTTTATTGTCTTTGTTCTCCACAACTGCCCATAGGAATTTTTATCTTGACTTAATAAATTGGAAACTAGTTAAAACTAGTAGTTGAACCATAATTGCCACTGAGATAAAACTTGAAATGTGTATTACAGGATGAAGAGTTTGATAATCTTTTGAGAATGAAGTTTGTATTGCAATTTCTAATACTGAACATTTCTAGGTAAAATGGAACCTTTCCTAGGAGTAACCTTTTTCTTCATGGTAACACCTACTATAGATACAATTTAAAACATCCTATTTAATGAAGAGCAGAATTTCCTGTTTATCCAATTGTTTAAACAGACTAACTTTCACTCAGTTTGTGTGCATACAAGATTTCTGAGTATTAGCATAGAATGATTAATGGAGAGGATCAGTGAAATAAGGTAATGTCTATCAATTTTTTTAGTTAAAAAGATGCTTGTAATGCAAGAGATATTCAACAATTTACACATCACTCGTATAGTTTTCAATGAACCAGCTATGCAGTTTAAGGATTATGTTTTTAATGAAGTTTATTTGTTTTTCCCATTATCAAAGATACTTATACTCATTCTAAATGTAAGAAGAAAAGAGAAGAGAAAATCAAAACTTCTGTTAATGTTTTAGTAAATGCAAACAAGGATAGAAGAAAGATTCACTACGTTATCCAAAAAGTCAAGTAAAAATTACAGTCTGTTTGACCTATTCAAAATTAAATTTCTCTTTTGAAGTAGGAATAATAGTGTAGAAAAATGCTTAATTTAATCCTTGTCTTTATTGGCTCTACTAAAGAAATCAACATATCACTAAAACCCACCCAACACAACACATAAGAACAAATAATTAGGAGGAAAAGATGTGATTCCTTTACTTTTTCATTTTGTGACTTTCAGTGGCTTTACAGTTTCAAACCTTTAATGTTTTGGACTTATTATTACTGAATCATTGTTAAATGCCTTTTTAGTTTTTAAGAAAAAATGTCGGAGGTGCACATCAAATTTAAAATGAAATCTCTGATATTAAATCTGTTTGACTTATTACCTAGAATTAATAGTTTATAAGGCACACTGTTTCCTTCAACCAATCATTAGCCTTTGAACATGTTTTATTTTATAAGTAAAAGTTGTGTGTGTGTGTGTGTGTGTGTGTGTGTGTGTGTGTGTATGTGTAGAAGAAGTGGGGGAGAGAGACAGACACTGGTGTTCTTTGTTCTGACTGGTACCACTTTTCACCTACCTGCTTGAGCAAACATACTAAAAGTCATCCCTAGGTGAGTCGTTCCTTTACCATGTCCACCTCCAATATCCAAATGGCATGCCAGGTCACCACATGCCAACACCTTCTCACTGGCTGAAAATCCATCCTCCTGTGCTCTCTTTACCAAAGCCCCTCGTTGCCCATCTAGATGACTGCCAGTTTTTCTGGCAGCCTTGCCTTCTCATCAAATTCCCATACAGCTGTCAAAATAACCTTCTTAAAATGTTAATCTGAGTCAGTAATCCCTGACTTATTAATTGACCAATGGCTCCCATTTCTTAAAAGTAAACACAGGCTGTAACCTAGCTCACACTAGCACACTAGTCCTGGGTGGGATAAGCCAGCCCCACATGGACATGGCACTCTGCTGCGTGGAATCCCTTTAGGTGTTCCCCTGTACCCCCAACCTTGGCATGTGCTTCTCCCGGCTGGGTAGCAATGCTCCTTGTTCTGGCCAAATATCAGGCCTGACACCACTTTGTAAAGCGGCCTCCACAGCTCCCTACCCTGCATTTCCATGGCTCCCTGCATTAACTGCTGTTAATATCAGCAGCATGCTTTTTATCAATCCACTTATTGAGTCTCCACATTAAAACTTTCAGAGAGGGAAGTGTGCCTTTTAACTCTGTATCTCCTGTATACATCATTTGTCACTGTAAGCAAGACAGGTAGATATCAACACCTTTTTGTAGATGGATGGAAGGATGAAAGGAAGGGAGGGAGGAAGGAAGGAAGGAAGGACAAAGGGAGGAAAGGAAGAAGGAAGGAAAGAAGGAAAGGAGGAGAGAAAGAAGGAAAGAGGGAAAGAAGGAGGGAGGGAGAGAGGTGAGGGAGAAAGAAAAAGAAAAAGATCTATTAATGTATTTGCCTAATTTGACACATTTTAAGAACTCAAAAGATGTGGAACAAATCAATATGTCAATGAATAAATCAATTAAAGGCAACTATGAACTCATCAGCTCTTATTTTTCAATTACAATCATCTGGGTGCCTCCCGCCAACCCCCATAGGAAGCAACAAAGTGTTATTTCATGCAGGAAGCAGTGACTTAGGGCCATAATGGAGGTAGGAGTGAGCAGCCTACAGTGGAAATGGCAGCTCCATCCCCTTAAATGCCGTACCACAGAGCAGGCTGCTGCAGTTGTTCTGTAAAACATGTCTTAGGAGAGAGGAGAGAGACATTTAGCTTTCAGTTACTAAGGGTACCAAACGCATAAAATATTCAAAAATTGGAAGGTTTACATGTAAGTAAAATTAGTTGCATTGAGCTGTTCATTTTGCTAAGGCTGAGCCATTCTACAGGAAAAAAGAACAAAGGAAAAAAAAAGCTTTAATCTTTTTGACAGAAGGATACAGGCAGGAAGTCCATAAAATTGGAGGAGAGACAGGAGGGGAAACGGGCAGACTTGATTGAAGAATGTACCTCTCCACCGGAATCTCTCACATTCTCCCAAGGGATGTCTTCCAAGCTCAGTTGAGGGTGAATCATAGGACCCTTGCCCTGGTCAGTCAAAAGGGTCGAGACCTAGATTTGAACGCTGGCTGCATCTCTACCTAGGCATGCTTACCCTCACTGGACCTCAGTTTCCTAATTTGTCAAATGCAGGTAATCATTTTGTCTTAGAGCATCAAACTTGGAGGTTATAAAATCCCTATTTAAGTGCTCTTGATAGAGTAGGCATTTGAAAATGGCAGCTAAAATGATTATTTCCTCCCCGTTGCCTTCGCCCACAAATCTACCCAACTCATTGGGGCCACAGTCTTCCCTCTACTTCTCCAGCATTCACTCTTCCTCCAAAGCACAGCTAAAGATTCACTTTCTCCTTTCAAGAGCCATTCACATGCAAAGAATATGTATTCTTTCTAAATGTGACAAGTCCTATTTTCGATATCATTCATATGGCCATCAGGATATGGTTTCTCTTATTATTTAATCACACAAGTCCTAACATGTCATTTCACGTGTAGAAGGGTGTGTGTGTACCAGTTGACTGAGATTTTGGTCCTGCAACCTGTGGGAAAAAGGTTGGTATTCCTTCCCAAGCCCAGCACGGTTCTGGGTCTGCAGACAGGGAATCATCCTTTACCTTTGGATAGAGAGAGTTGGACTTGCTAGCAGAATGTTCTAGCTCTTCAGGCTGCCCTTGGGCACAGAGCCATCCCGTGTACCATCCCCTTCACAGATGACAGCAAACCTCGGCTCAGCAGCAGCCCCCCCTCGGCCACCCTGGGCAGCCTCCTGGATGACCAGCACTGGCACTCCGTCCTTCTCGAGCGGGTCGGCAAGCACGTGAACTTCACTGTGGACCGGCACACACAGCACTTCCGGACCAAGGGTGAGGCGGATGCCTTAGACATCGACTATGAGGTGAGTTGATTCTCCCTGCAGACTCCCAAGCCCCTTGCCCGTGATCAGTAAGAAAATCAGGTAGCAAAAGAGCAAGTGAGAAGATGTGGGCCCCTGACAGATCTTACCCTGGGGCTTCTCTTCCCCTCGCTCTAAGCCCAGTCAGCCAACCACGGGGGAGTCCACAGAGAGAGTCTGAGCTGTGAGCCTGCGGAAACGCCTTGCAAGGCATCAGCTAATTGTGTGCATTTTCAAATCAGCAAGGCTCCTTTTTACTTTTTAAAACTTATTTATTTATTTATTTATTTTTCTGGTAGCTTTCCTGTATCGCCATCTAGTCTCTTGGTTACATTCAGTAATTCTTTTATCAAAAATCAGCTTCAGTTAGCTGAGGTCATGGAAAATACAGAAATTATATTAATATAAAATTTTAGGTCAATTATACCTTAATAAAATAAATAATAAAATCCAAAGAATTTGAAAATCTGCATGATAGGCTCTTGTTTTTCACCTTCATTCCTATGCAGACTTCTGACCAATACACAAGGACAGTTAGTTCTACAAAAGAGCAAGAAAGAACTAACTGTCCTTGTGTATTGGTCAGAAGTTTTGCAAGACTAGTGGCCAAGATTTAACCATCTTTGCTAGTAGTTCAGTTCAAGAAGTACATTGTGCTCCTACTGTATACCAGGTTCTCTTCTAGGCAATACCAATCAGAGATGACTAAAGCAGAGTCCCTGAGTTGGAGATGCTTACAGTCTAATAGCAGAGTCAGGCCTGGAACACCCACTGCAGAACAAGGAGGTGAAAGCTACCTTGGAGAGCGGCACTGGGCACTGCGCGATCCTAGGCAGAGAGCACTTGGCTCAACCTTGAATGGGGGTGGAAGGCTTCCAGCAGGAGATGCTGCTAAGTCTTGAAAGGAGAGTAGGGTTAACCTGATGAGAAAGGTGAAAAAGGCAGGCTAAGTCAGAGAGGACCCTGTGCAGGGTACGGGGCATGAAATGTCACAGTCCAGTATCTATGGGATTTGAAACAATCGTCCGGCAGTGGTGTGTGACGGCCAGCTGGTACTGACTCATGAAGACCAGCTGGTAGATTTTCAGGAAGTTTGGAAGCTGGCTGGTAAATACAGCCATTATGAAAAACCCAGTTATTTAAACTTATAATCCATCGAAGTATTTTTAAAATGTACTAAATTCATTGATGCCTGGTTACTTTATTTTATTCTATCTATATGTCTATGTGTCTCTCTATGCATCCATCTATATGTTTTTGAGGTTTTTTCACTTCTGTTGTATCTGTGTGGTGGAAATGCACTATATTGGATTGCTACAGTGCATCTCTTTCCAATTCCATATTTAGTGACATCCGTTTGATGGTTTGAAATCCATCATAGCGGAGATATTTACACCATAGATATTGGTAAATCCTATAAGTCAGGGTTTGATTTATTGTTTTGTTGATTGTCTAGACCAGGGATAGGCAAACTATAGCCTGGAGACCAAGTCTGGCTTGAAGTCTGTTTTCTCCAGCCTGTGTGTTAAGAATACTTTTTATATCTATGTTTATATCTATGTTTATATCTATGTTTACAAAATTAAGAAAAAAAAAGAATAAGTGACAAGAGACTGTGTGATTACAGATAACAGAGTTCAGTGAAAAATCAACGAAAGCATTCTATAAAAATCAATTGGTTTTATGGAATTTATAATACAGTTTATTATATATTTTATTATTATTTGTAAATTGTGTCTACACATCGCTTATATCGGTAAAATGACCTAACGTCTGAATGCATGTGTGTGCCCACACACATACATATACAGAGATGAGTCTGTGTGTCTGTGTGTGTGCGTCACACCCTGAACAGCCAGATTTTAAACCTGTATCAACACACCACTTGAGGCAGTGAGAGATAAAACGTAAGAATTAGGGAAGACCCAGGTAATGATGGACCCTGTGACCCATGTTAAGGAGCTTAAACTGTGGGGGAAAAGGAGCCACTGAAGGATTTTTTGCAGAGCAAGTGACATGGGCAGACTTATGTTTTAGAGGAGTCATTCTGAACATGTGTTTCAGGGGCCAGTACAATTAGCACCCCATCGAAATTTGTTAGAAATGAAAATACACAGGTCCTATCCAAACCTACAGAATCAGAAACTCAGGGGGAGGGGCTCAATCATTGGTTATTAACATTCCTCCAGGAGACTCCAATGCACCCTACTGTCTGAGAACAACTATTTTAGAGCAGTTACTCTAAAGGTTACTCTGAAGCTACTCTGTAGTTTAGATCTGTCTATAGGTGGGTGGAGCATGTTGCTGGACAGATGGTTAGAAACCCTGTTAGGAGACAATGTCAATCACTAGTGGATACATACAGGAACAGTGGAGGTGGAGATGAATCATTGAAAACTTAGGATCTGACTTTTTTCCAATCTCATGAACTGTAAGAAAGATCTCCTCTTTTGATCCTAATCTTAATTTAGCATACTGTTGATAAGATATGCCATTCATTAACTTCAAAAGAGAATCTGTCACTCTTTGACTCAGGATGCAAAATACCAGGCAGGTTGTTTTTTTTTTTTTTTTTAGTTGCGAGGATGCAAAATACCAGGCAGGTTGTTTTTTTTTTTTTTTTAGTTGCTGATAACTGGAAATCTATGAGTATCAATCATTCTTATTTGTTTAAGTGATTGTAAAAACAAAGAATACATACAATATTGAAATTATCTTAAAGCAAAGAGATATCGTTTAGGAACTTGAGGACAATAAATAACACAAAACCATCATGAAGTTTCACTAGGTCCCCATATACTTGAGCTCTAATGACTTGAGAGATGATTCTAAAATTCACCCAGTTGCCTGATTCAACATTTGTTTTCAAGTTATCACTACCTGTGGTCTCCAGTGTAGATAATCTGTATGGAATCACAGCTGAGTGCCATTAAAGTGAATGTCAGCATTTAGG